TCAAGTACTTCTGGCGATGCAAGATTGAGTTCGTCGAATAATATCCAACGTTTCTTCTTCAAGGCATCTAACACTTTACCATCCTGCCACTCGAACATACGTCGACCATTGACACAACGTGGTATTATGCAGCCGATCAACTGATCGAGTGAAGTGTTCGCTGACATGTTAATTCGTTCACAGTCTTTACTCAATAATTTACAAACTTGCATGACAACATGCGTCTTGCCAATACCTGGAGGTCCTTCTAGAAGCAGAGGTGTTTTCGATGATGTCGCTGCAAAGATACGAGCAATTTGAATGATTAGTGTCGGTGTTTGTACATTGTCAACAAAGCGATTCTTGAGCTCATCAAGTGTAGGTAGGTTTTGGTCACTGGTCCAAGAATATCTCACACCGGTATATCGAAGAGCAATATAATCACCACCGATTTCGAATGGAAAATTCGTATTGATACCACTGTTTGCAATCGATTCGACAGTACGTGCTCCGTGATTTTGATTAGGAGGCTGAAATATATTACCATATTTTTTATATTGATCACTGGCCCATTCATCGAAGATACTCTGGTGTTCTGACATTGGCAATAGATCAAAGTAAAAAAATCGGGCACCGAGAATCAATCGCTCTTCGAAAGAAATGCCTTTGTGATGATTGAAGATGAAGTCCATCCAGCGAAAAAGAAGTTGAACGTCATTGGTCAGCTTCTGCGGTGGGTGTTTTTTATCTTCTTCTCGAACTTTTTCTCGCAAAGAGAACATGGCTGTCGCATAAGTTTTGGCTTGACCTTCTCCTGTCCCATGTTTGATTAGTTCGTTTTCGATCAACAATTTCATATCGTCTTCTGTATAAGCTGGAACGTGAATTTCTGTAAATCGAGATCGAGTAGCTGGACTCAATTTGAGCATCTGATATTCGTGTTCTTGATGAACACTGGCAAAGATTTGAAAGTGAGGCGAAAGTTGAATGTCCAACTGACCTTTGGTCTTATCATTCGTTTGACTGGTGATATTTTCGGTCAAAGCGAAGGTGGGTGATGGTTCGAGCATCGAATTCAACCGTTCAATGACTGCTTGACTAGGCAAATCAAGATCTTCAAGGAAGAGAATTCCCCCATGTTTGGCAGCTTTCGTTACCGATCCATCGTTAAATAGAAATATGGGTTCTGTGCGATCAACACTGGGATCAATAAGCCCTTCCCATATTGATTGAAAGCGTGAGTAGTAATCATGTAGAGTAGAATCGTTTTTGAATGAAACGAATGATTTGTGTTCGAAAAGATGCTGAAATTCACGTAATAGATTATCGACGCAATCCATTAATGTTTCTGGAAATGCCGTTTGATTCACATGCTTTTTATTTGAATTATCATCACGAGCCATTGTTGTCGAGTCATTAACAGTTGTTGCCGAAAGTGAAGACTTAGGAAGGCCGTCATCGTATAGATTTAACTGATCGCCATCAGTAATCGATGCCTCTGTCATTGCTCGAGATTTATTTTCTTCTTTTTCTGACACAAAAGACAGTATATCGAGACCATCATCATAGAGACCGTCATCAACAGTTTCGTCTTTTACAGCAACATCGGCAGTTGTAGCCATTGTTTCCACTGATGATTTTATTTTGAAGTCTTCGGGACCGTCATCACACATATTACTTGACATTGTAATATCATTCAATTCCAAACCATCATTGAAAATATTAGATGATTTTCTCGCGTCATTTGATTCCAAACCATCGTCATACATGTCGCCTTCATCGCCATCCACTCTCACTGGCATATCCCTGCTAAATATTGTGCTCGAAAAGTGAGGCTGATTGAAGTCGTCCATTGGCGTTCCGATTTCATCATCAGGGAGATCCACATCTTCCTCATGTTTTGTTGATCTGATCAGATTTTTGACTTCATCGCCCATCAAGGAAGGTTGGACAGGTACTGAAACTGTTATAATTTTCTTCCCAATATTTACTGTTTGATCATCGAAGCCCGGTTCTTGTTCACGTCGTTTCTCATCTTTAGAATATTCTGATTCGAATTCAGTTATATGTTTTCGTAAGTCTTTCTGAATCAGTTTGAATAACTTGTTCAGTGTAAGTTTGGCTTCTTGGGAGAGTTCATGTGTATCGTTTGATGTATGATAGAGACATTGTGCTCGATATACAACACGTTCAGCAATCGTGGGCAATTGTTTGACGAGATCGAGAAATGAATGTGGCGTAATTTCTCCGATGAGATCAGCGGCTTCCGAGTCTGGTGTTAAGTGAACTTTGATTAGTTCATTCGAGCGGCCAGTGATCAATGACCATGTTTCGACAAGTAGAGATTTACATGATGTTGGACCGACAAGGAGAATCGGCTCATGTGCTTTGACAGCATGAGCAATGCGAATGAGACAACGTTGAAATGTTTCTGGAGGTTTAAGACTGTTGTTAGTATTCCAAAGATCGCTAGTTTCCAGTTTCACTGGGCCAAAATCAACAGAAAGTTCGTCTTCTGTAAAACGAACTTGATTTTGGTCGATTACCTTGATTTCGATTTCAGGTAGTGTAACATACGTATTGCGAACCTCCACAGGAGGAGGAAACCAGACAGTATTAAGATTGCCGATCAACTCTTTTCGGATATTCGATTTATGAGAATATTTGGCACAAAGAAGAGAAACACCAACTGTTACCCACAATTCTTTGTCGGGAGAGAAAATTGAATGACGATGTAACCATTTGACAATTTCACGGAATGTAATTCGTGTTGAACTAGTAAGAATACGATGATAGAACTTTGCAATTTGCTTGGCACTGTTTTCACTCAAGCATGTCGGCTTCGCTTTTCCTTTTTCTTCACGTTGTTGAATAATTTGAGAGAGTTCGTTTTCGGGAAAATCACCAAATTGAATTTCAAGAAATCGATTACGCAAAGAATCAGGCAATCGATGACGATTGGCATAGGAAGCATCGTTTTGAGTGGCAAAAAAATGAAAACCGGGTATGGCGGATATAATTTTGCCACTAGATGGGATAGTGATCGAATTTTTACCTTCAAGTAATGGAAAGAGCAAATTCATTACGGCAGGATCAGCTAAATTGAATTCATCGGCTAGAAACCAAGAGCCGTTAGTCATTGCCGAATAGAGAGCACCTTTTTGGAATATGAAACCATTGCTACCAGGCAAATAGGAGCCGAGATAATCTTGAATTGTTGTCGTGTCTGTATTGTTCACTCGCTCGAGACGTTTACCAGTAGGTGAATCAGTCTTCATATGTTTGCATAAATACGAGATAAGCGCAGTTTTGCCAACAGCTGCCGGACCTTCTAGAAGAAGAGGAATGTTGCATGCCACAGCGCCGAGTACAGCGTCGGCATATTCCTTTCGTGATTTTGTCAAAATATGTTCAGGACTTTCTTTTATCGATTCGAGAAAATTCGGTGATTGAGGCTCGGTCGATTCTTTACTAAGAAGCAGTTTAACTTTGTCGATGATTTCAATTTTAACACCCTTATTTGGCATATCTTTGATCTGATTGGCAATAGTAACATGGAAAGCTGTCCAAAGAGCCGAAGAAAACGACAATTTTCCATTGTTTTGATGATGTAGAAGGTAAGTACTATCGAATAAACGAATAACGTTGCGTAGAGTGAATTTTGGAAAGTTCTGCTTGTTATTCTTGTAGAAAGACATAATGAGTTTGCAAAGAGAGACGGCCAATCGATAGTCAGTCTCGTCGGATAAGAGGGCACGGGCCAATTGGTCAAGTTCTTTTTCACATTGAACACCTTTTTCTTTGCATTCATCAAGTTCTTCTTGGCATGGATAAGTTTGATCAAAAGTCATATCTTCCATGTGAACGATAGCAAATCGATTGTAGAGAGCAGGCGAAAGTTCAGTAGCTTCACCACTGATTGACGATTGTTGTTGAGTTGAGGGTGGTGTCATTGTCGCTACAAGTTGATATTCAGAATCCATCGGTAGTGAATTGATATCGCCCCGTTCCGTTAGTATGAGCATTGGATCTTGTTCGAGTACTGGATTGAGACGTTCCAAGACAGATGGTTCGGCAGTCGCCAAATTGTCAAGAAGAACCCAATCACCATTGATAAAGGCTTTTGTTACAGCCCCATGTTGCCAGATAAATTTCTTACCTAAAAAGATACAGAATAAATCAGAATAATGCAAAGTGAGAGAAACCTAAATCAGACCATAATCAGGATCATTTTCATCATGTGTATCATTGGGAACTAATTGACCTATCAGAGACGATGGTTCAGTTTCCGGTGTGACGTTGAGTTGATGGATGCGTTTGCCATGAAGCCAAGCAAGGGTGAGAAGAAGGTCTGATTTACCGCATGCTTCGCCTCCAGTGACAAGAATAGGTTGTTTGATGCGAAGGTGAAAGCATACTTGTTTAAGCACGGCAAGTACTCGATCTGTGAGCACATACGGAAGATCAGGTCGAGCTGATGACAATGCATGTTGGATATTTGTGTCAAATTTTAAGTTAAATACTTTTTCGAAGCATGATTGAACAATAGTACGCGCTTCAGTGTGACGAAATCGAGATTGATACATACTGAGACCGCAGCGAGCGAGTTCATTGGATTCTGGGAGATTTTTTGATGGTCGAGCAGCTGATATTAACCATTCCCAGAGCCAGACTTGATCGATTCGATAGATTCCATGAGATGAAATAAATGCTTCGGTTAAAATAGCACGGCGAATGTCGGTATGAACTTGAAATACTTTCTTCCAAATAGCATCATTAAACGCGATTGAATGAAGGCCTGCCAATCGAAATATTCGAGTCCATTCGAGTTTGGGTTCATCGATTTTTATGTCAACACTAGCCGGACATTGGATGTCGTCAAAATTGATTGAATAATCTTTTTGTTGATTGAATTTGAATTTTGCAGAATAAATAGAAGCAGAAGGCCATCCACAGTCTGTGATAATTTTCATTATTTGGTCTCGACCTTTATGACGATATCGCGCACCGTAGACGCACCAAGCGCCAAAACTGAGTATAGCATTTTGCTTTTCGATATCATCTGGCCATTGACCATTTTTTTTCTGCCATATCAACAAGTTGATCCATTTCAGAAGTTCTCGAATTGTTATTTCTGTATATGGACCGATTTCGTCAAAGTTTTTTTCTTCTAGGGCTTTCTTGATTTGACAGTTAAACAGACAGACGAGGTGTTCAGATAAAATTTTGGCCTGATTCGGAAAACCTTGCAATAAACGAGTTTCGACAATTTGGCGCCATTCTTCATCGGGTAATTGTTTGAATATCATTGGGCGAAAACGAGACAGAAACGAAGCTGATAGTTGTTCGCGCTTACCTGTGAAAAAGCCTGAATTTGGATTTTGAGTAGCAAATAGTCGAAAATCTTTGTGTCTTCGATGAACGATAATTGGTTCTTGAGCTGAACTTGTATTGTGGATTGTCAGCATACCAGTGTCGAGTGCCGATTCGATTGCTCGAAGAACAGTATCTTGAGCGAGATTGAGTTCATCTAAGAGAAGCCAGTAGCCATTTGAGAACGCCTCAGTGAATGGGCCGTCGACGAATTTAAATATGGTTGAACAAGTCATTGAGTCAACAATGAGGGAGACTTTGCCGAAAAGATCATCAATTGATACACGAGATGACATATTATAACGAACTAACTTGTGACTTTCCCCCCGTCCGCCCCCCCCGCCCGGGTCGCTCCCCCC